ATGAATCGGTTCACTGCGGCTATCCTGCATGTGAGACGTTGAACTTTGCGAGTGTTCTTTGGTGAAAGTAGCTCCAGGATCATGGAGATCTGTTTGGCGTTGGCTTCAATCACACGTTGTGTGACCAAGTAGCCTAGGAATTCTCCTGATGTGACTGTGAAGGTGCACTTTGCGACATTGAGCTTCATTTCTTATTTTTTGAGTATCAGAAAGCACTCGCGGAGATGATTGATGTGGTCAGCTGCCTTAGCTGATTTGACGAGCATGTCATCTATGTAGATCTCCATTGTCTTGCCCAACTGGTCGACGAACATTTTACTGACGAGGCGCTGATAGGTGCCTTCCGCGTTCTTTAGACTGAAAGGCATGACCTTGTAGCAATAAATGCCTCGGTCCGTGATGAATACAGTTTTCTCGCTGTCGACAGGATTAATGAGAATTTGGTTTTATCCTGAAAATGCATCCATAAAAGAAAGGAGTTTGTTGCCTGCAGTAGCTTCGACTAGCTGATCGATATGAGAAAGTGCGAAGCTGTCTTTAGGACATGCCTTGTTGAGGTTGGTGAAGTCGACGCAGCCCGCCATTTGTCGTTCTTCTATTTGACTACCACTGGGTTGGCTAGCCAATCCAGATACTTCACCTTGGTGATTGATCTCGCCTTCAGTAGTTTGTCCACTTCGTCGTGTACAGCCTGTGCTCACTGTGCTCGCTCAGGTCCCAGCTTTCGTTGCTTCTGTTTGATCAGCTTAAAGGTGGGATCGACGTGTAGTTTGTGATCGGTAATTTGAGGACCAATGCCTTTCATATCAACCATTGACCATGCGAACGTACCGATATTCTCCCGAAGGAAAGTGAGTTGTTTGTCCTGCATGCTTGGTAGTGCGATCTTGATGTCTTCTTCAGTGATGCTCATCTTTCGCAGGGTATCCATAAAAATTAGATCGACTGAGCTGCCTGTGTCGATCAGAATTTTAGAGACGTCGTCTTCGCCAAGCCGAAGCAAGATAATGAGGGGATCGTTGTGAGGTCGATCTATACACAGTGCATCTTGTCCGGTAAATGTGATTGGGATGTCGTCCTTGAATAACGGCAAGGCGTCCTTTGGTGGGTTTGTAGTCTTTCGCTCGTGCCGTTTGATCGTATTGATCGCATCAGTGCAGGAGAAGAGTCTGCCCATGATCATATTGATCCACCGCCGAGGTGAGGTTGGAGGTGTATGATCATTCTCCCAATCTCGTTTCACTTCCTTCCTTTTGTGCTTTGTGGATGGGCGATCTGTTGTATCAGGATGTCTATCTTGGTTGTTGTCAAGTCGTCTATCCTGATTGTTATCAGATTGTTTTGCCAAACTTCGCGGCTCGGGCACGCTGCACTCGCCATCCTCCCACTTTTTCCTTAAGTGGGCTGTATGAGTGCGGCAATCGTCTGTACGGTGTCTGTGCACTTTATGATAAATGCAGTACAATTTCTTGCTCTCAGGGTCCTTGGCGTTCTAGCGATCCCAGGTGTTCCAGCTTGATTGCCGAGCGACGGTGTGGACGTTTTTGCGGCTCCTGTCGTCCCTGTCGTAGTGCTGTCGAGACTCTTGATAGCCGTCCTGGTTTGATGATCGATATTTTTTATCTCGAGTTGTTTTGTTTTCGGCCAATTTGGCCTTGGCCGCTCTGTCTTCCTCGAGCCTGATGTAGCCGCTTGCTTTGGTTAAAGCGTCCTCTAGGGTTTTTGTTTTTCCAGTCTTCAGACTCTCGCAGTAAGACTGGTCGTCCTGTGGAGTCTTGATTAAGATGTTGAGAGAGGGCTCGTCCGACAGGCTGCATTGGAAACTATGGATCGGAAGCGATTGATGTAGTCTTGTAGTGGCTCCGTTTTGCCTTAACGCATGCCAATAGGTCGAGCGCTGTAGATTCTGTTTCGATATAGATCGAGTAATGCTTAAGAAAACGGCTGTAAGCTCCTCAAAAGTGCTGATAGAGTTCGGGGGGAGCTGTGAAAACAAAGTAAGGGCACCTCCAGAGAGCGATTCGATGAAATATTGGCAGAGACATGCATCCCGTTCTTCATCTGTGAATCGAGCTCGTCCCATAACCGCTCTAAACACGACCAGATGCTGTTTCGAGTCAGTTGTTCCGTTATAGCTCGGAGGTAGCTTCATCATTCCTATGTCCTTTAGAGGAGCGTTGGTGATGGCCGATGTGAACGGAGTTTGGTGTGTCTGTTGGAGTATCTTATCCAGCTTGGGGGCAGAAGTTATCGCCTTATGAACCTTGGTGTTCATATCATTGAGTCGTTGATGGATAAGATCGAGTTCGGAGGTCATCACCGGAGCGGTTCTTGTGGTGTCCCTTGATGAATGGGTGTTAGAGGCTTCCATCGGTGCCCTCTGCAGTTTTTCCGTCTGTGTATTGTCGAACAGGTTATTGACCAATCTCGAGGTCTCCGGGTTTCTCTGCTGGTGGATCGGCTGATGTCGAGGGGTGGTGAGGTCGGCCTGCTCCTGGGTTTGAGCTCTGGTGTTTAGGAGCCGATCTAGGTCCTCGCGGTAAGCAAACTGTTCGGCGCAGAGCAATTCAAACCGAGCATCCATTCCTTGCTGTAACTGGCTCGCGACTGATCTGATGAGGCTGGCCCTGTCGATGGGAAGTGGCTGTGGCAGGTCGATCTGATTTGCCTCGGTGGTTTGGTCGGCCTGATTCATTCCAGCAGTCTGGCCTACCTGATTCACCCCAGCGGTGTTTCGTGCGGCCGTTGGATCTTCGGTCTGTTAATCGGTCTGATCGCCCAGAGGTAATCCTGTGATTGGGTTGATGAGCCAATCTTGGATGTTGTCTTCGGGGAGACTAGTGGTTTCTATGGTGGTAACAGGATCGGTGGGTGTTTCAACCATCTTCGAGTTCTGCTTCTTTAAAGATTGAATCTTTTACTCCCCATTACTCAAATCCGATCTAAAAATTGTACAAGAGTTATTGGGTTTAAAGAGAGATCTTTGTTAGATTTAAGTCAGAGCTCGGGAAAATACACGATGGTTTTGGGTCGTCGGAATAAGGCGGCCGACCTAAAATAGTAATGAAAGTAAACTCAAAAGCTTAGAGCAACAGAATAGCTAGTTTGCCATAAGTCTCGAGAGATGATTTTTGTCTTCCTTGAGAAGTCAATGGCTTCTATATTTATACCCGATAAGGTCAGTCTTCTCGAAATCACTTCTCCCGTCCGAAATAGAAATATTTCCTTGCTGATAAGGCTGACCTTCCGTCTTTTCCATTTATCTGGCTGAACCTAAATATTCTTTAGAGTTTTCGAAATGAACCGAAATCGATGTCGGATTTTAAGAAGGGATATGAATCCCATCTCTAGCAATATTTACATGCAAATATACGATTGTATTTAATTTTTAAAAATTCAAATTAAATATATTATTACATAAAAAATTTAAAAATGTACATTTGTTTTAAAACCAATATGTGAAAAATTATTTTACTATAATGCATAAATTCACTTTATTAAAATTGTGAGCTAATTATTTACATGCAAATATATGATTGTATTCAATTTTTGAAAAAATTAAAATAAATAATATTAATATATTAAAGTTAAAAAATGTACATTAATAAAAAAACCAATGTGTGATAAGTGATATATTAATATTTACCAAGATAAGCTCTTTCTCAACCCGGAATCATATCTTTATACTTGTTGAATCCCTTCTTTCACGCTATAAAACCCCATCGAAACACCTGTAAACAGATAGATGTCTCGATCTTCGGACGAGACTTCTCACCCGAGCTCGTAGAATACTTTCCTGAGTATTAGTTTTCGGTAGGGCGTTCATTGACTTGGGCGTCGGAGAATCTTCGGAAGGGAAACCTCTTTCCGGTCTTTCCGAAGGTTCGATTGACCCTTTTGTGTAGTGTTTTCAGGTTCAAATCAGTCTTCTCATGCGTAGCTGTAACTCTAACCGGCTTCCGCCCCCAAACGACTCGTCGACTTTCCCTCTAGAGGACGAAACTTAGAGGCACGGCTCCACTCCCCAGACGAATGACACACCCCCACGTGGTATTCCAAAATTTGCTCTCGAACAGTTGGCGCTAGGAGGGGGGGATCACCGACAAACGTTTCACGAAGGAAGCAGTCTATACAGCTCGACCACGCGAGGAACGGAAGACATAGAAGGTCTGCGAATCACGTGAAATGACCCTTACCCAACAAGATCCGAGACTCCGGAGCCATCACATGCACTGGCTCCGAAGTGAAGAAGTCAGATCCGCCGCAAAACAAAGCAAAAGTGCAAAAAAAAAAAAAAAAAAAAAAAACGAAAGATACGTGGAGCAACTTGAAGTGCATTAAAAAAGGGTAAAAAAGTGGCCACGGATCACATAGTATGAGAATACATTTTTCAGAGGACAGAAGTCTCCAAAAAGAAGATTGTTTAAATTACAAACCCGGCAGACGTGAAGATCTTGCCGGTGAAGTAGGACCCGCACCTTCAGCGCCTCTTGCTGCCTCTGAAGCATCTGTCCCCCGTGACCCGTTCCGTCGACGTTCCTCTTCAAGTTCCCCCGCCTAAGCAGGTAGATAATCGTCTGTCTGCTCGAGAAGGCTTCGGCCGCCATCAGCGCGACGTCCACCTCGACCCCCGGAGTAAATCCTTGATACACCGTGAGGGTTTCGCGAAGCATTCGTAGCTCGAAGTTGCGGATCTCCAAGTTCCATTACCCCAGCCCAACATAATATAGGTAACGGCCATTTCAAATTGATCGGATTTTGTTTTTGGAAAGCTCAATTGCATCTTAAAGTATAAACCGTATAACTCATATATTTCTTTACATATTTGGTTGGTCTCATCCGCTTTGATTCTGCCACTTATCATAGGAATATGGATTTAGGAAATATTTAAACCTAGATTGACTACTAGATAAGAGTTGCGAGAAAATATTTCTCCAATACTATAAAGTAGTTGATAAGGCCGATCACGAGTTTGATTACTCTCTAAACGGTTTCTGCTAATGACGAAAGTCAAAGGGTTTTCACCGGTTAATAATATGCCATATCTTCCGGATGATTTAGTGTTGAATTGCTTAGCTCGCGTCTTGAGATTGCACTACCCGATTCTCTTTTTAGTTTCCAAGAGATTCAGCTTTCTCATTGCATCGATTGAGCTTTACCAAACGCGAACATTCCTAGGTCGCATTGAGAGTTGTCTTTATGTGTGCTTACGTTTCAGTTCTCGTTCTAACGTACATTGGTTCACTCTATGTCGAAGACCAACTCAAACCCCTAACCCTAACCCTAAACCTAACCCTATCCGACGATGGTTCACTCCTCCATGCTTTAGACCAACGAATCGCACAAGGAAGGACAAGAAGATGTTGAGCGACAATCTCATGGTCTCAGTCCCAACTCAAAATTATTCTCCTCTGTCTTGGTGGGAGACTGCCACATCGGTTCTAATATCAACATGATTGGAGGATGCATACACGGTACTAGTGTCTTCTTAATGCTTCATGGCACGAAACTCCAAGCATGCGGATTGCACCAGTGTCGCCGGTTGTGAATGTTCTTGACGGGGAAATATATGTAGTGGAAGGCTCGGACAGTCGCGGTTCCTAAGAATATGGAGATGTTCAATCCGGAAACCCAGATATGGAAACAAGTGACATACCCTAAAGCAGAGATTCTCGGTGAGAGATATTTATTAAGAAGCTTAGCAATAGACGGAAAGCTTTACCTTTTTGGGGATAAACCTATGGTTTACAATCCCAATGAAAATGGATGGGATGTGGTAGGAACCGAGACACGTTTGGATTGGTGTCCCTATAGATCGTCTTTTGTAATAGACACCGTAGTCTACGGTTATAAATGGGCCAAAAGGCTTAAATGGTACGACTCTGAGGGAAAAAGGTCGAGATATTTAAAGGGTTTGTAAGAACTTCCAAGAATACCATATGATTTTACCAGAGTTAGGTTGATAAATTATGGTGGAAAGATGGCGGTTTTGTGGGAGGAGGAAACGCGAGATATTGGCTCAGACGAGAAGATGACTTGGTGTGCTGTGATTGCGGTTGAAAGGTGCACCGGACAAGAGATTTATGGTAAGATTGAGTGGTGTGATGTTGTGCTTACAGTCCCCAAGTCATGTCTTTTACTGGAATTTAGCGCTGTTATTGTATGATGAATACAATTTTGTCTTTTCGATACGATAAAGAGTTTTCTATACTGCTTATATTATTTCTTTTGTTTTGAAAACAAAGTTATTGATTCACAAAATTAAGCCAGAGTTGGGTTATTTGAAGCACTTGATGAAGAGACTTTGATTCGTCGGGATCAACCAAATACATATAAAAGAAGATGTGTATAATTGATCAGAGAAATTGGGAGGGAGTCCCTGCACTGTTCTAAATTTCTAATTAGATGTCGGTTTGGAGGTTAACATATCCCCATATATATATATATATATATATTGGTTTCTTTCTTGATGTAAGCTAAAATGCAAACCTACACCAAAAGGTCGATTTAATTATATACATGATCATATATGGGAACTGCACTATGCATAAACAATATATTACTAGGTAATAACTCGTACTCTGTGCAGAGTGAAATAATTATTATATATATAAATTAGATTAATTTTAAGATTACATAATATTATATAATTGATTTTATATGAGTTTCATATAACAGTATGCAATAATATACTAAAATTATCATATAAATTAATTTAATAAATAAATATTATATAAATAATCCAAGGTTTAGTTGGGTAAAAATACGAAGTCGATATATAAATTATATATCTAAATTTTTATTTGTGAAGTGATTTTGAGAAACAGAACTCTCTTATTCAATCTCACTAAATATTACTTAAGTACCCTTAATGAAGAAAACACTAATTTATTCTAATATTTTCCAAGATTTTCAACTTTATTTTTTGCTATTTTGATAGATATCTCGAATTAAAGTTTATATATATCTCAAAATTTTAAATAAGTTAAGTAATAATCAAAAAGGAATATTCGTTGGTTCGTTGATCCTAACGATTATCAAAATGGTAATAACTTTAATATAGTTACCAATATCTTAGCCGAATCTAAATAAAATCTAAATATTTTCATATATTTACTAAAACTTTAATATTATTGATTCAATTCGGGCCGTGGCTCATAATGTACCGGTGGTTATCATGTAACCCTAATCGTCTCTATATATATAGTTCAATATTTTAGGATCGGCAAAAATTATCAATTTGTTTCTTTATCTCATATTTTTTATTCATTCTAGCCGCTTAGTTTTAGACTTTTAGGTTTTTATTCTAGGTTATAGTTTATGCTTTGTTAATTCCTTTGACTTTTGCATGATGAATCTTATTTTCTCTTTTCATGTTTCTAGGTGCTTCGTAGATTAAAACAAAACAGTTTTTTGAAAAGTATGAAGAAAAAATCCATATAGGAAAAGAAGAAGAAGAAGTCAGAAACAAAACCCGGAAGCGCCCGAGCAAATAAAAAGGAGACAGTAATAGATTTCGTTCGATAGTTTATTTTTATGTAAATTACAGCTTTTTTTTTTAAGTCGTCTTTGTTGTTATCTCTTACATGGGTAAAGAGATCAGAGAAGAAAAAGGCGATAAAAACATTTTCAAGCTAAGACTGATCGTGATGATGATGATGATGTAACGGTGTTGAAAGTGATCAAGACGAAGATGGTGGTAACGATGACGTAGGAGACAATGGAAACGCATGTAAAGATTTTTTTTTTATCGAATTATTTTGACGTGTGCCAATTAATTAGCAGCCTGAGATATTGAGTCTCTTTATTTATCTTTGGTGTTGAATAGAATTGTACTTGACTATAGAATAAGTCTTGCAAGATTTGTACTTGAATTTATAAGTTGTTTCCGATTACAAGATTTCAATAAAAACAAGATTTTTAGTTTTCATTAAGTATCTTCTCATGTTTTTTTCTTTCTATGGTTTGTCGGAAAGAAAGAACTTTAGTAAGTGATGGAGAATGTGTTTTAAAACTTTAGAGATAAATGGACAAGTTTAAAAAAAGAAAAGTTTTGATGGGAACTTAAGAACTTTACTTTTTATTAACTTTTTTTAGTTTTTCTTGGTTACAAATGAGAGAAGAGATGACTATTTATATAGCTTTCAAAGTACAAAATATCTAAAATATTTTAATCCTAAATCTAGAGAGTTCTACCATATTATCTAGATTATTTTGTTACAATTATCTAGAAATTTCTCTAGATATTTATTTTTTATAATTTTCTAGAACATTTCAAAGAAGTGGAAGTATTGATTTTTCTAGAGAACACTCTAGAACATTGGATTAAGTATAATTGGATTTTGGCCCAATTATTATAACTTGATCCAAAATCAAGTTTATTTCTCAACACCCCTTCTTAAACTTAATTTTGCTACTCCAAGCAAATTCCTCATCTTGGCGCTTGAGTGGCTTGGTAAAGATGTCAGCTATTTGATCGTTAGTCTTCACATACTCCAACTGCACAACCATCTTGGTGACACATTCTCTAATGTTATGATAGCGAGTGTCAATGTGCTTACTCCGATCATGGAAGACATGATTCTTTGCCAAAGCTATTGCGGACTTGTTGTCCACAAAAATCTTCGTTGGCTCCTCTTGTGGCAAACTCAACTCATTTAATAAGTTTCGCAACCAAATAGCATGACAAACACATTAAGTAGCCGCTACATACTCCGCTTCACAAGTGGAAAGGGTGACAATCGGTTGTTTCTTTGACACCCATGTGAATGCTGTTTCTCCAATGAAAAACACAAAACCACTTGTGCTTTTCCGATCATCTACGTCTCCACCCCAGTCGCTATCGCTATATCCAACAAGCTCGTAATCATCAGAAATAGAGTAATACAAGCCAAAATCTATCGTACCTTTGATATAGCGAAGGATCCTCTTAGCTGCCTTGAAGTGAGTGGTCTTTGGATCCTCTATGTATCGGCTCACAACTCCAACTGCATGTAATATGTCCGGCCTTGTACACGTTAAGTAATGTAGACTTCCAACCAAGCTCTTAAACAGTGTTGGATCCACACTCTCTCCTTCTTCTTATTTTGATAGCTTGGCTCCACATTCCATTGGAGTACAAACTGGATTCGAGTTATCCATCTTGAACTTTTTCAGCACCTCTTTAGCATAACCTTCTTGAGTAATGAAGATTCCATTCTATTATTGTTTCAAATCAATTCCAAGGTAGTAAGACATCAATCCAATATCGGTCATCTCGAACTCCTTTGTCATCTCCTTCTTGAATTCCTTGAACATACTTGGATTGTTGCCTGTGAATATCAAGTCATCAACATACAAGCATGCAATCAATATATCATTGTTATGTGTCTTGATATATAGTGCATGCTCATATGGACAGTTGATGAAGCTTTTCTCCTTGAAATACTTATCAATTCGAGTATTCCAAGCTCTTGGTGCTTGTTTCAACCCATACAGCGCCTTCTTTAACCTCAAGACTTTGTCTTCTTCTCCTTTGATTATATAGCCTTGTGGTTGTTCAATGTAGACTTCTTCTTCAAGATCTCCATTTAAGAAGGCTGATTTGACATCCATTTGATGTATCCTCCACTTCTTTTGGGCTGCTAATGAAATGATTAGTTTAACTGTTTCCAATCGAGCAACAGGAGCAAATACCTTGTCATAGTCGATTCCAGTTCTTTGACTATAGCCCTTTGCCATCAATCTTGCCTTGTATCTTTCAACTTCTCCTTTGGAGTTCTTCTTCGCTTTGTACACCCATTTTACACCAATCGCCTTATGCCCATTTGGAAGTGAAGCTAACTCCCATGTCTCATTCTTCTATATTGACTTGATCTCTTCATCCATTGCGTTTCTCCATGTCTTCTTCTCCATTGGTTCTTGGAAGTTCATGGGTTCGCAATCCGCAAATAGGCAAAATAGAGTAAGGTTTTCTTGCTTTTCGGTTACCTCGTAAAGCTCTTGCAGACTTCTAAAACGTGGAGTCCTTTTACTCGAACTCTCATCTCCTTGAGAACTTGGTGTTGGTGAGGTTGGTGGAGTAATTGGCTCCTCTCTTAGCTGCTCCAAATCATCTTCTTCAACATGTGGAAATAAGTTGTAGTTCTCATCATTTGATCTCCAATCCCATTCTCCTTCTTCATCAAAGATGATATTCCGACTGATGATTGTCTTCTTTGTATCAGGATTGTAGAGCTTGTAGCCTTTGGAGTTTGCATCGTACCCAATTAAGATGTACTTCTCACTTTTTTCATCTAGCTTGCTTCGTTTCTCATCAGGTACATGAGCGTGGGCAAGGCTTCCAAAGACTCTTAGATGTGAAACACCAGGCTTTCTTCCACTCCAAGCTTCTTGTGGTGTTTTCTCCCAAACACTTCTTGTTGGAGATCTGTTTGACAGATAGACCGCACATGCAACTGCTTCTGCCCAAAACTCCTTTGGTAGCTTCTTACTTTTGAGCATGCTTCTCGCCATCTTAAGAATTGTTCTGTTCTTCTTTTTTGCTACTCCATTCTGTTGAGGGGATCTTGGCACCGTCAATTGTCTTCTAATGCCATTATCTTCACAATACTTCAGAAACTCTTTGGACATGAACTCTCCTCCTCGATCAGATCTCATGGCTTGGATCACAAGGCCACTTTCCTTCTCAACATGGGCTTTAAACTTTTTGAAGTTCTCAAACACTTCTGATTTTTCTTTCAAAAAGTAAACCCATGTTTTTCTTGAAAAATCATCAATAAAGAGAAAGAAGTAGTT